ATTCAAACTAAGGGTTCAAACTTCAGCCAGTCAAAGGTAAAAAATCAGCCAGGTAGTCAATTTTTTTTTTTTTTTTTTTTTCTAGGGCAGTCAAACGTTGATACTTGGGAGTACAGTCAACCGTCAACTGTCAAAAGTCAATAGTAGCATGGTGAAATCGTCGGATGTACCATGGAGTAGAGATAGTTACATGGATAGATAGGTAAGCCAGAAAGGGAAAAAAAAAAGATAAGAAAGATTTGAGTATTTGATAGGTAAGATTGTATCGGGAGAACCAACGGGCGTAGCTCGGTTGGCACACCCACTTAACTGTTGAAATACAGACGCGAGTTCGAAACCAGATGCAATCAGCTGAAGAGGATAAAATCCGATAAAATAATTTCGGAATTACTTGGGGCCGTTCTGTTCGACGATAATATCTCAAGGCTGTTGCCCTTTTAAAAAACAAGTTGGACTCGCCGCAGCAAAGCCACGGCCCAGAGGCGGGGAAGAAGTGAAATGGCGAGGGTGGGCTGTGTCATGTGGGGCGGGTGGTATAATGACCCCCCCCCCCCCGAAACCCAAGAAGGCTGAAACAGCAACACACACACACACACACACACACACTTCCGCTAGAACACGGAAAGATACACCACAATATTTTTTGTCTTTTCTGCATGTGGAGAGTAGTGGAGCTAAGAATGAATCCTCTGCTAGAATATGGAAAGATACACCACCATATTTTTTGTCTTTTGTGCATGTGGAGAGTAGTGGAGCTAAGCCATGTTGAGAATCGTGAAGCGAGGCCCATCACTTCGCTCATTGAGGCGGACAGTCGACCTGGCCGGGAATGGCTGCGGGAGAAACACACACACACACACACACACACACACACACACACACACACACACAGAGAGAGAGAGAGAGAGAGAGAGAGAGAGAGAGAGAGAGAGAGAGAGAGAGAGAGAGACTCCGCTCATACGCCACGTTCGTACACACGCCCGCAGAGCCCGTAGTCGTCGTTTTTTTCCATGTTCCTGCAGCTTTCCACATCCTTGGTAAAGATTTGTTCCCATTTGCCTCATTTCCGAGTAGTGGAGTTAGGCCCATAGCCGGACGACTGTGTCCGCATTTTTCCATGAAAAAGACAGAAAAAAAGAAACAAAACGAAATGGCACGTCTGCTACCTGTGGAAAGTAACAAAGCTCCCGCCGCTATGTACTTGTATTCGAATATGCAGCAGGAGATTCGCACCCTGCCAGCCAGGGGCCAGGAGATTGCTGCCTGGTTGAAATAGGGGTAGAAACGGAAAGAGGGCCGGGGTAAAGAGAGTAGAGGGGGAAGGAGAGGGGGGGGAAAGGGTCAAAATCGCATGAGGGTGGTGGTGGTGAGAGGGCGGGGGGGTGGGTGGTATGATTGGACGAGTACCACAATAGAGTAGGACCGAGGGGGAGTGTTTGGGAAAGAGGGTGTGAAAAGAGTATCGAAATTGCTGGGGGAGGGTGGAGGTGGGGAAGAAGTGCTGAAATAGTGGTAGGAAGGGGAAGAGAGGGAAAGAGGGGTGGTAAGAGGGGGAAGAGGGGACAAGAGAGCAGGAGGGGAAGGGTCATTTTTTTTTTATAGGGAGGAGGGGGCAAAAGGGTTAATTGTATAAGGAAGAGGGGGGTGGGGAACAAGTATTGCAAAAAGAACAGGAAGGGGGAGAGTGTGTGTGAAAGAAGCATTGAAGTTGCTCGGTGACGTCCGGCTGCTTGTATGCTGCAGCCTGAGCGCAGCATACTGCGGGATTCCAGAATTTGTACTTGTTTCCTTTCTTTGTGTGAAGGTAGGGCAGGGGTTGGTTCGATCCCAATCCCTTTTCTCTCTTTCTCTCTTCTCTTCCCCCTCCCCCCCCTCTCCCCCTTCACAACCATCTTTTTGGCCTGTATGGCCATATGGCACATGCCTATATGTGTGTGGTGCGACGTCCTTCTTCATTTCCGAGCTGAACCCACGTGCAATCAATCATGGTGTACTCATACAGATGTTTTTGACTGATTTCTAGACGTAATTGCAGTCAGATACATTAGGTCGAGTCACAACTGCGGTCAGATACATCCAGGGAAGTCAGTCCTTGCAACCCCAGTCGCTCTAACTTCTAGCGTATATGCGCGTATTGTATGGCGTGCCCTCGTTCCGTTTCTTAAATTTTTCACTTCTTCACAGGTTCGAAAAGGCGATACCATGGCGGAGTTTCTTCGTGCAGTGCAGCAGCAACTTGCGAGCGAGTTTAGGGAAATCCGTACGGCGTCTGTGGAGAATCTACTTTATGTCAAAGAGGATCTCATTATTCCCCATGTAAGTAAAGCAAAGGGTAATCTCAAAGAAGGGTACTAATTTTAAAGCAGGGTAATTTACAAATTTTAACTAAGTAATTTACTAATCTGGGGTGATCGATGTACCTCCTCACATTCGCGCTTGCAAGGCTACACATGGGAAAAAGTTCAAAAAACACTTTATGGATATGATATTTTACGTCCGTTAAATCAAAGACCCCCTGCGTGAAATGCAGGTTACCTTGTTGCTATATATTTAGGGTCTACAGGTGAGAGAAGGGCCCAACATCCGGAGCGGTGCCTCCGGAGAGGAGGAGGGCATAGGAAACGACAAGTTGGTAGTAGCCGCTCTGGAGAGGGGGAGCTAACTTAGGCATGGGTGATGGCTGTCTCTTATACACATCTAGATGTGTATAAGAGACAGGGGTCTGGTTACATGAACAGATGTCTAATGCACGCTTGCTTCCCGGTTGTTGGCACTTAATTCTTTTGCATACCTGAATTGATTTGTCCCATTGCATTTTGCCATGGTGTCGTCTTTGCATGCAGGTATTGGAGTCTGCTTTCAAAAAGGAGACGATCGGTCTCGTCACAAGAGAGGAATTTGTGGAGAGGGTGAGTACCTTTTTCCATGGTATTTTTTGGTACATATATGTGCTTCTTTGCTCTTCATATGTATTTGGTACATATATGTGCTTCTTTGCTCTTCATATGTAACCGCTTATACAGTCAAAGCCGGAGCCAGAAACACACTGCATGTGTATGGTGTGTTCTCGTCGATTCTGAAATTCCATTCGCCATATGGTGTTGTCTTTGCATGCGGGAAGCGGAAGCTGTCTAGTTCCCGCTCTTTTCTTTTTCCCTTCCTTCCCCCCCCCCCCCGGTCCCCCAATCCTAACGTAGAAGGAATTGAGTTTTGTCTGTTTCACACCTGATTTTAAAATTTAAATTGATGGAAAAAATGAAGTTAGCGATGCCTCACACGGCGGCGGCGATGACAGCATCATGGCTAGCATAGAATGCATGTGAGCAGCATAGGCTCCGCTCGGTGAGAGCAGGTTAACGGAGACCCTAAAAATTTTCAGACCACTTGCCATGATGCCATTTATAAGAAAACCAATGGGTCATTTTAACCAAACTTGCCAGGAATTCACAGAGTGGAGACCATACTAACTAACTGCAAAACAAAAAAAGGAAAAGAAATAAATATGAGACATATGAAACAGCAAGGCAAAAGTGCACTTTCACGAAATTTTGCCAACATTCCAATTTCGGAAGTCATGATTAATTTCAGAAATGCATTGAGCGAATTTGAGCCTCGCTGCTCGACACCTTGAGCGAGCACACACACACACATTGAGAGATTACACAAAGTCCACACTCGAGTCCAGAGATGCAAAGTCCAGATATGCACAGCTTAGAAATTCCAACAAATTATCACATTAAACAGTTTCGGAGACCCGGTCACCAAGCTCTCAACAGCGCAGAATTCAGCAACCCAATACCAGCATCCTCATCTAAGGTAGGTGACTTTCTTCTCTCCCTGGCTCACTCTCTCTTTCTTTCTCTCTGTCTTCTCTCTCTCTCTCTCTGTCCCTCCTGGTCTTCTTCATGCTCTCTCTCTCTCTCTCTCTCTCTCTCTCTCTCTCTCTCTCTCTCTCTCCCTCTCTCTCCTTGAGAATCTTGACTCTGAATACATCCACTGCTACTCAGCTCTATCCCTACTACTAATTATGCGGCTATGGCCGCCTTCCCTCTCAGTGCAGCGCTGCCCAGCAGGGCTCTCGCGCGCATGCTACTCGCAGATAGCGCACAAGCGCTTCAGCAACACTTCCACACCTCTCACGAATGAGCAATCTCTCCTGAAATGTGGCTGGCCAGTCCTTATATTGACTTGGACTGAGCTTCAACTCGTCCCAGCCTCGCTTCCTTTGGCTTGACTTGGAGTCTTGAACCTGGTACCACATGCCCACGGCCTGCTTGGTTTAGAATGTCAAAGGCCTGGTGTACTTTTCCCGAATATTCATTGCCGTGCTGCTGCTTGAGTCTTTGAGTCACGACTTTTCACCTGTGGAACATGACTTTTGACTGTGGGATGTGACTCTTTTGCCTGTGGGACACTACTTTTTTTGCCTGGAGAAGTGTCCTCTGCCTGTGCGACATGGCTTTTCAATATGTATGACTTTTCAAAATGAGACGCGACTTTTGCTTGTAGAATGCAACTTTTGCGTTTGGGATGCGACTGTTTACCGAGTGCCTGTCCTGTTGGACTCGACTCCTAAGGTGGTGCCCCTGGCTGCGACCTTTCTGAACGGGCCTCCCTTGGCCTCCCTTGGCTTGAGACCACCTTGACCCCCTGAAATTCGAATGTGGGGTCTGCATCGTGGAATGCCTTTCAGAAATCTTAACAGAGGAAATTGCGATGCTCCAAATGACACCAAATTTGGCATACAGCAAACCTCGAACCAAAACAAGAACAGGCCCAAAAAAAATAAAACAAAAAAACAAAGGTAAAATTGGACCCCCAAACCCAAATATCAGTTTTTGGCCCTTTTCCCAGGGCCTGAAACTGGGGTTCCCCCCGCTAACCACCTGGTGCTACGAAATGACTCATGAATGAACATTTCGTAGTACCAGGTTTTTAATGAGTGGACATCTCTGTTCGTCATCAATCACCTCTGACAGGTCTGGCCGGTCCGACAGGTCCATTTGTCCTGCAATTCCTGCGACGCAGTCAGAACAATGTCTTCTTTTGTCTGCCTGTAATGAACAGGATCTGTTCTGTAGGCGGTAGTTTCCTGTACCTAGGAATACAGACGACTACTAAAAAGGAGTAAAAAGTAGTGTAAGCTGTCACAGGTTAACTCAGAGTTATGACTCATGAGTTGGTAAGCCTCCTCACTCGAAGGGACAAGTGAGAAACTGTTTGATTTCATTTTTGAAAAGTGGAATCATTTGATGGAAATGGATTGATGATGATGGTTGCAGCGAGCGAATTTGAGGACAAAACTCGAAGAGGAAGAGGAGAAGAAAAGGCGGGAGCAAGAGGAGGCGTAAGTGGATTTTGTACTTTCTCTCTCTCTTTCTCTCTCTCTCTCTTTTTTAATCCTTTTTTTTTGTTTTTTTCTGTGTAGTAGAATTGAGGAGAGACCAAGTGCAATTGGATGCCTTTCCAAAGTTTCAGAAAAGAAAAAGTGTACACGGTGCTACGAAGTTACGAGTACTTTCAAAAGTTAAATAAAAAATTTTAATTGTTACTTGTCGAAATGATTCAAAAAACCAAAGAGATGCATAATTAGGGGTGTGCTGCGATGCCTCCCTGCCCATCCCCTGCCCATAATTAGGGGTGTACAGTGCTTTACCCCTGGATGGAACAGTCAATCGCCGCGGCTCAACGCATTTGGGCAGAACCACCGAACTCCCGGTTTGAGCGACATTTCACCACTAACCAGATCTCAGGGGGGCTTACCACATCTCAAGGGGGGGGGGGCTTACCACATCTCAGGGGGGGGGCTTACCACATCTCAGGGGGGGGCCTTACCCCATCTCAGGGGGGGTTACCCCATCTCGTGGGGGGGCTTACCCCATCTTAGGGGGGCTTACCCCATCTCAGGGGGGGGTCTTACCAATCATGGCGGACTTACTAATCGTGTTCAGTTCTCTGCTGCCCTTTTTCTTTTTGTGGATTAGCAATGTGCATGGATGTGTCCTGCAGGACATCCGTTAAAAAAATTGGAACGGTACGCGGAAGATTAGCATGGCCCCTGCGCAATGATGACACACATAAATGGAGAAATGGTCCAAATTGAAGGGGGGGGGGAAAAGGCAATGTGCGTGGATGCAGCAACTGTGTTATACCACCACTACCTTCGAGCCTCTCTTTGCCGAGGAGGTGGAAAAGAGCTGCGCACCAAGCGTCGCCGAAACACCAGTGCGATGCTTTTTTTTTTTTTTTTTTTTTTTTTTTTGCAAGGCTGAGGATGTGTATTGGCGGTTTTGAAGGACCAGTACATCCACTGTGGCGTATTTGCACTGGGCGGCAGGGTTTGCCGAACTGCCACC